ACAAGCTGATCGATCTGCCTACTCATGGAGATCAGCGGATAACCTTGGAAGGATAAGTTATCATAAAATTAATATAAGAGTCCCATTGCACGATAGTCATTTCCTCTGGTTGCCGCTTCAAATCAACAAAGAAGGCCCGTAAGGGGAAAATTCAAATAATTCGGATAATCAGTGCACACAAAGCGATAAACTATTGTTCTACAGTATTTCGTCAACAATGCCATTTATCTTGTATCACCGCTTCGAGGGCGCGAGTAGTATCCCTAGAATGTGTGGGCCGTATCCCCTCCCGAAGAAGGCTGTGGTCAGATGAGTCATTCGACCGCTGTCTACCGTAAGTACCGGGAGCTGCCGAAGATTTCGAAACACCATCTTGACTGTTCCGCGGTAGATAGGCGTATATATTCGGTGAGTAGCGATAAAAAATTTTTACTGGATTACTATGACCCGGAGTCCTAAATTGCGATGGAGCTTCGTCGATGCCCAACATTGAGCCCCAAAAATGTTTTGCAAGCGTTTAGGACGCATTTTATCGAAAAGCAAAACGAGTGCATGCACCAAATACTCGATCCTTGATGTCANCCGCTGTCTACCGTAAGTAACGGGAGCTGCCGAAGATTTCGAAACACCATCTTGACTGTTCCGCGCTAGATAGGCGTAGATATTCGGTGAGTAGTGATAAAAAATTTTTACTGGTTTACTATGACCCGGAGTCCTAAATTGCGATGGAGCTTCGTAGATGCTCAACAATGAGCCCCAGAAATGTTTTGCAAGCGTTTAGGACGCATTTTATCGAAAAGCAAAACGAGTGCATGCACCAAATACTCGATCCTTGATGTCATGTCTACCAGTCCACCACTACGACCAGTCTACGAGACTACAAACTACGGGTGTATATATCTCATCTTGAATGACCCCTGCGACCAAGTCTCCTTCTCTTGTTAGCGGGCGCCAGAATGACGTCCCAATTCGCCCCTGTCGCGAGCCAGAGTAGTCCAGTGGGCAGGGGAGACGGGCAGCCTTGTCGATTTGCTGCACGCGGCAATCGCGGAAGGCACAATTCTTCTGTTAGTTCTTTTCCTTCTGTATTTCTTACTTACTGCTGCACTCTGCTACATTCCTTTCCCGCGACTTCCTCTCGCCGCGGCGCGACAAATTCANACGCATTTTATCGAAAAGCAAAACGAGTGCATGCACAAAATACTCGATCCTTGATGTCACGCCTACCAGTCCACCACACTATCCACTAGGCCACCGTTGCACAGGTAAAGGCTCTGCTCGGCTCGGTGCTCCGTTCAGTACGGTGGTATAACACAGGGAGACACCGGTCCCGTGAATTTGTTCCCAGAACCGTCTCGCAGATTTGGAACACGGATTTGAGATCAGCGTTCGAAACCACGTACGTATGTATATATCTCATCTTGAATGACAGGGGGGTAGTCCAGTGGGCAGGGGAGACGGGCAGCCTTGTCGATTCGCTGCACGCGGGAATCGCGGAAGGCACATTCTTCTGTTAGTTCTTTTCCTTCTGTATTTCTTACTTACTGCTGCACTCTGTTACATTCCTTTCCTGCGACTTCCTCTCGCCGCGGCGCGACAAATTCAATCCAGCTGCACCACACCACGAAGGGCCGCCCTTCTTCAGAAGACACGGTTCGTAGATTCCTTCCACTCGAAACTTCCACGAAGAAGTCTAGTCGTAGCGTTACAGCCAGTGAGGGGTGAGTGGTTAAGGGGAACTAAGTTCCTTGCTAGGTACCCAGATTTGTTGGGATCTGAGTTTATACCGAATACCATGTCTGAATAGATTCTTATTTTGTTCCCTTTATATTGCAATTCTTCAGTTTAGCGAAAAAATTTTATAATGGTTATTTCACCGCAGGCAACTGGTTGCACCACGAAAATCCTATGTATCTATTTTACAACCATCATCTGAACCTATTATACACCAATACTATTATTTCTAGAAACCTCCAAACATCTATTATCGATGCCTATTGCTTCCTTGGAGCTAGGAAATGTATCAAAAATTACACAGATTTGTTTTATAAAGAAGTTATGAAGAAATGTAAAGACGGTGACAAAGCAAGCAAATGTGTCAGGTATGAACCCTTTTAATGAATCGCTCGACTGGAAAAGGTTTAATAGGAAGTAAGAAGGAATGAACGAGAGGAGGAGGCAAGAGTAGCATGTTTGCGAAAGAAAAAACTGTTGGACGTAATTTCTGCCTTATCTCGTTCACCACGTGCTGTTTGTTACTCCAGAGCCTTTTGAGACGGAAACATTTTGGCGTATCACTGCTTTCATAATCCGCCGGCGTGCCGGCCGGTGGACTATGAAAGCAGCCTGTGGATTCATCACTGAGTTAGTTATTCAGCATCGCCGCCCCTCTTCGAGCAGGAACCTACTGCTATGGCGTGAAAGAAGGCGGAGAAGTTGCTTTCGATAAGGTTATTTTTATACAGTATACTTATACATAGATGAGATCCAAAGGTAATAGTGGGTTATCGACGGAATTCGGGAGAGCCTTGAGTTTGGTGTACACATGGAGGCCGAAACCGATCTCTCACGTGGGATCCCTGATCAGATAGGTATCTTGAGAAGGCGAGAAGGTACTTTTACAAAGCATTTGGGTATCAAACAGGTGCTATCGTTACTCTCCTAACTTGTTTTTTTTGAAGATTCTGACTCCGATTTGATTTTTTTGCCGTCGTGGAACCATTCATTAAGATTGTACTACACTTCCTCTTCCATCCTTATGGCCGATAATGAAGAGGGTCATCCATCGGACGACGGCTAATCAGACGCTTTTCGGTAGTTTCGGACCAACCTCCTATATTCTTCCTGAGCACGATGGAAGAGCTCTACTAGTGTTCGACAGAATAGGGAATATTCTAAGCAAATCCATAGCCCGAACTGTGCTTCTTGCCTTCATTCATAGATTTGACTCATGATGTAGTTGTACTTACTCGAAAATCGGAATAGTAGCCCCCTAATATGATGAATTACTATAATCTTCAGGTAATAAAATTGTACTATGCAGAAAATGTTCAAGTGGAGAAAGAAACGCTACTTCAAGGATCAGGATGTCACAGAGATATTACAGCATTGAAGAGGTGAGTACGTCTTGCTATGTACTCACTTGCCATCTAGGTTCCCTAGCGCGGAATAGTCTTCGAAATTAAGTCTTTGAATTAGTCCTTTTGTTGGAGGCCCAGTGATGAACCATAGTATGATCTGCCGCTCATACAAAAAAGTGCTCAGCTCGTACTTACCCATGTGTTCAAACTGTGGTCTTCTGCTAACTATAGGAGCTAAGTTGATGTTACGTTGCCATTCTGCGA